TGCTCCACAGGCCTTCGACGTTCTCGAAAGCCAAGCACGTAGTGCACTATTACCTGATGCTAATCACGGCCATTCTGAATCAACTTGAAGTCAAAATCACTTATGGACCAATGGAGTGTCAGAGGGTTGCGCTTAGTCTAAAGGACCCTGGTGGGTCATGAATGTTCAAAGTGCATTTGAAAGTTTGTGCAGATAATTACAACATGTATAAAAAAGGGGGAATTGTTCTTGTTACTGTTCGAAAAAATCATGTATTTATCAGAAAGTAACCAGAAAACGTTCTGAAGTTTGCCTTGGCAGGCGATAATAATTCTAACGAGCTCTTCAGATCTTTACGTGAAAATGATCTGATGCTCAAGTGCCGGGTAACGCTTATAAGCGTTATGAAGAATGAATTATAACTGACGTGTAAAAGTGCTATTAGCCTTAATCAGAATTTCTGTTGTTATAGAAGATAGTGTCTTTCCCAGTTTCAGTATCTGCAGTGAAGGCGAATGAACCAAAGTGCATTGTCATCAGCAACACGGTGACGGGAATTTGCACTTATAAAATGGGCTCCGATGCGAAGTGTAATGATCCAGTCAAGGCGACATCAACCTCTGTTCCTAGCAATTACACGCCATTTTCAGGAACTCTCTCGGTTTGAACAGCCTTCTTTTTCATATAAATTTGCTTTCTAAAGAAAAAAAATGTGTGTAGACCACAAATATCATCAAGTCGAATTGGTCGAAAGCGATGTGGCAAAGTGTTGTAGACAGAGCGATTCGAATGTTAGCATCGGGTCCATTTGTATCACACTTTTTCTCGGCATCAGCCACTGTCGGCGGGAACTGACGTTGTGTCCGGTGCGAGGATTTTCCCTTAACAAACTAAATATCTATCAGCTTCAATTTCTACAACAGATTCATGTATTTTTTTATTTTTTAGCAGAGCACAAAATTTTTATGATAGAATCCATTTAAGCAACTAACGCTTTGGCGCTTTAGCTTTTTTTAGAGCCAAGGAAGAACAGGCTGTCCACAACCCCGTTAGTCAAACACCTGCGTTACTTCATAAAAAAAGTCACCAAACCTAGATCTCATTCGCGCCAACAACAAAACAGCCTTCAACATACTCAACGCTTTTCACAAAAGCCCGTTTGTACTGGATCGAAGTGCAGTTTCGTGCAAGAGTCACCATCCTAGTATACGAACGTATAGTATCAGCTCGCAAGATTTTAGAATCGACTTGTATTAACACACCAATCCGATTATGGGCCGCAGAAAGGATACCTCGTAATCACGCATGATTTTATACAGTATATAAAGCTGTTGCTTTCACGCGTGTGGCATTAGCAGTTCATGTAGTCTCAGTCCAGTGGTCTCCACTCGATCAACTCCGTGAAAGGCTTAAGAAAAGTAGTGACATATTGAAAGCTGCTTTCTGCGCGTGATGCCATTAATGGATTGGTGATTTTTTTTGTAATGTAGTAGGGAGGTGTTTGATCAGCGGATTGTGAATTTGATTTTCCAGGCTCTCAAGAAGGCGAAACCGCCACAAACACAGTTATTTGGATTAATTATATCATGAATCTTAGTGTTTGACTTAAGATAAGCAAAGCGGAATAAAATTTTTATTTAATCAATTGTTATCCGAGTATTAAGGCAGGAATAAACTGGCAAATTACATGGGTGTTCATTATTTAATGTAATAAATCAAATTAAAGTACGTAAAGTGATGAGCCTGATGTGATGATCTTCTTACAAAGCAATCGAAAAATTTGTGATTAAGAAGTTGCAAAGGTTTCATTGTGCTTGTCATTCGAGAAAATGATGCCTTGTCACTGCTTATAAGAAGGTTGCAAAACGGCAATAAGGACTGCATTAATAAAAGGCTCAAAACAAACGTCTAGGGTGGAACTCACCACAACGTCAGCTTGAAGATTTCACCAGTTTGGAAGGATGTTGACTTCTCGCGTGGTAAGTGGTCAGATCTTCCGGGCGAGCGTGGCGTGCTGTTATAGCAATGTGGTAGTTTCCTGATATGAGTTAGATTTTTATCTCGTCACTAAAAGAGGCTTTGCGATCTGTAATTGGTAGACTATCACTTATAGAGACTTTATGAGAACTATTTATAGTGCAAACAACGTCAAAGCTTTTTCTGAACTCGCGCATTTTTTTAGGAGGAAACCAGATGTTTCCGAAAAGAATTATATCTTGAGCCGGTAATGAACATTCTCGAATCATCCTATGTTTATCTACATTTCAATCATATTTATCACTCATTTTATATAAAGAATGACAGATGAAGCTCTCATCATTGATCAATCCTCGAGGGTCGCTCCATCTCTTCATATTTCACCTTCGTTTGAGGAGATTGAATGCAAATTTAGCCTTTACAATGATCCGGGCTGGCCTTCCTCTGTATCGAGTCAGTGTTGCTAATCCCTTTAAGGACCATGCGGCACCTTTCGTACCGTACCGCGAAACGTCAAATTCAGCCACTGTAACGGCGACGTCACGCTCGGTGAGAGAGGGTGCGAATCTAGTGAGAAGACAGACGCAGTCAGCATGACATCCGCGCTGTCTGCGCCTCAGTTCCCCCGAGACATAGACGCAGCGTATCTAAAGATCTTAGGATGATGAATGGGAGGTGATGAATCCAGGTTCTGAGGGAGCGTTATCATTATGAAATTATAAAATTTCGTGAGAAAACTTCCACAGAGGTAATTCAGTAAGAAAATCTAGATTTTCCACATTCCGTCTATTTTTTTCATGTTTTAACGATAAACCTACATCGCTATAAAAGGAATATATCTCTGAGTGGTGCATAACATTTGTTTTTCATTTTAGTTTTATGCTCTTGTAGTAATTCAACAGCTTAAGAAATGCCGATTTTCATACCAAGCTTGATTTTGGGCAGACCTTTATACGACGATATAATAATGGAAAAAATTAACGTTTTGCATCCGAGTGCGCTGTTTTCACTACACAGCCAATTTTTCACCATTTTATCCAGTTGAATTGCGATGATGGGAAAACTTATCGCTGGAAAAAGATAGAGTGTCAGTGAGCAGACATAACGTGTTTTGAGTGGAAATAACGCCCATTCACTCAGTTTTCAATGAGAAGAGCACATTTGGAGCAATGGTCAAGTGCTCTATTTCGCACACGAGTTCAATGGTCGATCTCACCCTCATTGCTCACTAAACCGCCCATCCCTCCGAGGTTTAAAATGGTACTGGACTTGCCCGAAGCAATAGCATTACTGACTTACACACATCAATAGTTCACCGCAAGTCATTGTGAAGGGAAGATGTTGACGCATTCCTCAGGGAGGAGGGAGGGAGGGACATGTATTGATGAGCTTTCAAAACTGCCTACACGTGCTCTCATCAAAGTTATTCGTAGAGGCGAGAACTGGACGGAGTACAGGAAATATCATTTCGAAAACACAATGGAATATAAGGAGTAAATAGTGCACACGAAATGGCAGTGATTGCAGAACTAAAAAATGTTCATAATTAAGACTGATTCAATCATTCTCGTGTGATGTCGTTGAAGATTTTTACCAAACAACTCTTGTTTTGAGATTCTTTTCGCATAATACTTTCATTTTCTTTAACTTAGAGCCTCTGGGTTCTTTCAAGGAGCTGAATGTTCATATCCAGGGCGTGCTTTCCTCTGCCTTCTATCTCACTCTTAACTTTCTCACGGTCTCAATTAACTACTGTAACGGTGGCGTCTCGTTTCATAGGAATGAAGGCGTTCGTGGAAATGAAGACGCAGACAGCATGACATACCGCACAGAAACGCATACGCCGCCCTCTACTAGTGTCACGCAGGCTACGGCGTGACGCAGCCTACCTTTCAACCTCAAAGGGTTATCCCTCAGACAAGTCTGCGACCAGCCTGATACCAATTTGCAGACACCATAAAGATGGATGGTTTGGTGAGCCGTAAGGGCTAAATCTAACCACCGGCCTTGTTTGTGACGCAGAGCACCTCTACCCATTAAGCCAAATGCGCTTGTTTCATTCAATATAACCCAATATATCATGTAGATGAATCAACTCTTCTATCGAGCAGCGCACTCAGTTGCCTCCAAGGTACGGCTGTTGGTTCTGTGTCCATTTCTTATATCAGGATGAGATCGACTCTACTCAGTACTATAAATGTATGAGTCGTCAAAGAATCAGTTATGTTATCCTTGTGTAACTCAAATATCACAACATAATCCTTCAGTTCCCATATACTTTTACTAAGTATAATGCACAAAATGTCATCATAGTAGTTGGAATTCATAGGACAAGGATAGTCTGTCAGGACTGATAATGCGCTGCATCCGATACCACTTTATCAATCACTCATTAAATCTCGATTATTACTTGTCTTTGATCATGCATGATTATTCGCGAATGCCTTCTGCTGTCATTGGACAAGCAGGACTTTCTCCAATCTGTCAATTTTGAAGATAAGTTGTGGATTTACTACGAAAACAGCAAGCGTAGCACCTACAAGCTGCTTTGCCACGAAAACTTACCACCCCAACGAAAGCCAAGGTTCCATGTTTGAAAGATAATGCTTTTGATTATGCCCGATTTCTGGCTCGCAAAGCATGCTGTTTTTGTGAACAGCCCGATTACAAGCAGACAGTCAGTGCGACGTCTATGGGAAGTATCATTGAACTTTGGCAACAACGTTCCGTTAGCAGCATCCGAACAACTCAGCGTCGCCGTTCACAAGGATAGCGGCCTACTTCACATTGCAAAGTCGGCTCCCCACTCAGAGAATCTGGGTTAGACCACGGTATCACATCCTCTGTATAACTCTGGTACTGCTTCATCAGATTATCATCTTTCTGCGCCCTGAAGTAGCAGCACCTGCACAAGGAAAATCTAAGAAGCGCAACTACTCCAGAAATGACTCCATCGACTCCAAATTTCCAGTATTTTTACTGCATTTTTCGCAGTGTTATGACGCTTCATATACACCTAAGAAAATTGAATGGTAACGAAATACGACCTCAGACGGGAGTCAAGTCCGTGTTTCGTCCATACCGGGCACGCGTGCTACTACCACTACACCACAGAGGCACATTTGCCACCACCACTCATTCTTCAGCATCTCTTTGTTAGCTGTCAGCCACCAACCTTTAACAGGTCTGGTCGGGTATGCGATCTCGCCTTATAAACCCAATTTGGCTGACAGTTATTGTATAGATGATACTCGAAAATTCTAGTGTTTATACTGTATTTTTCCACAGGGTTTTTGACTCGGGATAGACTCCCGTCCAAGGTCGTATTTTTGCTCACCACTCAATTCTGTCAGGTGTATATTCATCAACTCCTTCAATCGCTAGCCTCGTTCTTTCTGAGAGTAAGGCATTCTTTGACCATGACTGTATACCAATGATTATGATGGTGACTATTGACGTAAAAGTCGACCTCTAATCTTTTATGTCAGTAACAAACGGACGGCGGACGTCGACATAGTCGACCTATGTGCGGTAATCGATGTGGTGGAAAAGAACGTCCGGTCGACACAGCCTCCCGTTACTGGGGGCCGTTATTCGACGATCGGGGGGCGAGAGGCGACAGAGGATGCTAGGTCTAATGCTCCTCTTCACGTCATTGTTCGTCGTCATGGTCGTCGTGATTGCTTATCAGTTTTACATTACACAGCATTGTGATCCAATTTAATCCAATTGAATCCACATAGCAATTGGACAGTTTCTTCCACACGTTGTTCCTTGATCACTACTTCGTTCATTGAGTTCCTTGATGAGGAGAAACTGCTCGTTACAATAGTTTTTTTACTTACTTCTTCGATCATTAGGTTTCTTAATGAGGAACATGGAAACACGTTTGCCTACAAGCAAAATGATAACGGGTTCTCACCAAATACTTTCTGGTCGACATCGTTTTACGCGACTCTCTTCTGCTCAATCGATTTTCTTTTGTTATCTCATTGTTCTCTGCGACTCTAATTGATGTGAGGATATATTGATTATCTATCACTGTCGTTGTTTGTATTCATTCGCTTGTGCTCTTGGTCGCGGGTACCTTCCGTGTAGACCAAGCCATTTCTACTTTCATCACCATCCAGTGCGTCCACACTTCTAGTTTTATCTCAAGTAGTTCCCTACTCATCGTAGCGGGCCATTTAGTGTCTCCATGCGATATGTATTCATTGTATTATACATATGCTGAAAGCTGATACCATTGTATTTTGCTGTTGATATAATAATGTTTTATGCAGGCAAAGGTTCAATTACCGAAGTTTGAGTAAAACGTGGCATGACAAAGACAACAAATAGCTGGAAGTCTGCGCTAGCTCCATTAGATGATCAATGATTACTTAAGTAATTGACAATATTAACAAGTGTGCCGAATTGCGAAGGTAGTAATGGAACAACTTGTAGATGAGCAGAAAAAGTGAAAACGCATGCTGTCCTAATGATAAAACATTATCGTGATTATTCCAGATTCACATCGTCTTTATTGACGATTTCCTAATTTTTGTAGAAAAGTTGTAGGCAGCCTCTCTGTCTGTCTGGAAGGCAAGTACTAAGGGATGAGTAGCAGTATTCTATAGATCTAAAGAGCTGACTTTAGTTGAATATATATTTCGCAATAGACAAGACAATTGTAACGAGTTGAAAAATTTTTGCGCGGCGTTAACGTTCTGAGACAGATCTAAAATGGCGTATGATTTTGGTAAATAATAAGCATTCACACATTCTCCAACAGAAAGAGGTAACAGCTTAGAAATTATGGTTCAAGTCGATTGTCCAAAACCATGACGACATCATCGAGAGAGATTCTTTATTCGTGCGGTGATAGATGGAAGAAGATTTAATTTGAACGAACGAAGATCAAGATCACAACAACGAACGTCTGTAGACAATCGTTCAAATCCCTCAGCATTGTCTCTCAGTGAGTCACGAAGCTCGGCTACCTCGCAGATTGAGAGACCAATCGTATCAATCAGGAATCTATATTATTCATGAAGAAGACGATGCTCAAATAACAATCAGACCATTAGATCAAATTTTCGACGACCTTTGTGGACGACGAATGCGAAGAACGATTTAGACTCAAGAAGAGCTGGGATCCACTCAGTGAGTCGTCGTAATGGGTCTTATACATAGTAATAAATGATGAAAAACTCTTGAACAAAGTTTTGCTGCTACTCTGTAATGGTGACATCTGATGTAAAAAGAAAAGAAGCCCTTCAAGCTTGTTAAAAATTAGATAGAACATGACCGCGAAATCAGTGCAAGAAGTACAAGTTCTAAAAAGCACTCAAATGATAGCTAAAACAATATTTTACGGAGCGTAAACTTCTTCATACTTTTTTTCCATACTATTAAAACTAATCCATAATGATAAACAAAATATTCATCTTTTAGACCGTTTTTGAATATCACTACAAACACTGTCTACAAAGTGAAGAAAATGGTGATAACACATCAAATGCTATCACCATGAACAGTCTCGCATTATCCCTGCTACAGAGTAGGGTTTAGAGTGGTGAGTAGTCAACAGATTAAGAAGGCGATACCTCTGAAACGTACATATGGCGCTAGTTTCAATCTCGATAATGCTATAAACATTCTCACGAAATCAACATGTATATCTTGCGATAATTGCGCATGTTCTGGAGTATAGTCGTTCAAACTTGAAACCAGATATCTACGACGCCGCTTCTGGCTGTTTTTATATAGCTGAGTAGACATCTACGCGCTGAGCCATCGCAACCTAAAGCGGAATCGGAATTGGAAAGTCTCTGAATTAGTTAAATTGGGAAGTGTGGAAATGACACAGACAAACACCATGAGCCAAACGATCTATGAATAATGACACTGTGAAGACAGCAACCATCATTCAGGTGATGGTCTAAGTTGCCAACCGCCAAGAACAATTTAGATCAATAAAAGTTTGAAGGATGTCCTTCAAATAGTTTTATTCGATGGGCCACTTAATTAACTGAGCTTCAACTTAAGTGCAAAAATATACGGAATGTACTCTACGAACAAAAGCATATTGTTTAAATTCATCATATGCAGATGTACGTCATATAGCGTGCTCCTCACGGGCGTTTCTCGTATCCAGAAAATAGGTGTTGAAGTGAGGTAGCAGTGTGAAAATATCAAGCTGCTAATGTGCTTGTTATAAAAGTTGATGCTGTCGTATGTGATTTTGAGGCAACGATGCACCTCAATACATTCGATGAGAATGTGTTTTAGTTTTCAGCTACCTCATATCATAACCACCGGTCACAGCTCTTGTAAATGACGTTTGCAGCAAGTAATGAGCTCATCAAGGCGACGGTTGAGCTGCAGATACACTTTTATAAAGCTTTTTTTTTTGAAGGTTTTATAAAGGGTATCGTACAAAAATTTCCATTCGAGAGAGGAGCAAAGCCCTTGTTTCACCAAGACATGTGGCGTGCTTCAACTACCCCATTGAGGTCACCGCTCTGTTCCCAGTGTTTTCAATAAAAAGCATCGAAGTTAATAGCAATCAATCATCAATGAGTTTGACCTATTGAATACGGATCCACACTCAACGCAGCCAAGTTGACAATTTTTGAATATAAAATCGGCAGAGATTCCATTTTTATCAAGTTATTAACAGTGTTACAATGTTATGATATATCTTCAAAACAAGCAGAGAGGTATGCAGAATTTCGATTTTTCAAGTCTAGATAGAATCCGTGGACGCGTGCTGAAAAATATTTTAGCTTTTTTTTTCTACATTTGACAAATCGAAAACGCATTCGGCGCTGTTGCATGATCTGCTCTTCGAGGGGATTTCATGAGAGCTGCCACATCGGAGAGCTTAAGGATCAAGAAAGTCAGGCCCATTACCAATCGTTCTCTAAACCTAGGCCTAATTAATCACAGTAGGACGGATAGATAAGGTCGTTCTGCACTTTACTCACAACACCGCTAAGCTGCCTATTTAATCAGATTGAGCGCGTATAAACTTTCTCTAGAAGAGTTAATGTTCCTACAAACCCATCTGCGCTTCAGTTTTTTCATTCGCAAGATGGGTATACAAAATTTATCACTACCCAAATCTTAGCAATCCTTCAAAAGTGCCTGTTGTAGATTGGAGAAATCTTCGCTTCTATGGCTACTATGTGATCATTTCACTTGAACATGTTAATGATTACAAATTCCTTCATGCAGAACCTTGGTTGAAAGCTTTTTCAAAATATCTCACTCAAGTCACCGTCTTCAGAATAGCAATCATGTGAATAACAGATGATATTTCCCACTATATGTTAGAAGAATTATTGAATTGTCAATGAGAGTCGACTGATTCAAGAGACAACCGCTCCAGGGTCGAATAGTTTGTATGCATGATGCTGATTCGACCTCCTACCAGACACTGCTCTGTAATGAATCAACAAACGCCCTACGGATAAGCGGAGCTCGACTATCTGCGAGATTGACCGCGAAAGTTGCCTTGCCGAATTTCCTACAGCATTTATGAGAAAGACAAAGTTTCGAAAATAAGAAAGAGAAGCTTAGAAAACTAATTTTTATTCAAAGCTTCACGAGGTTGATATCTTTTTCCAAATCTATTGTTCTTCTTTCCGGTCGATGGGTTTTCGCGGTTGCTTGTGACTGACGTTTCTGCAAATACGCCTTCCTCAGAGCCTGAAACGTATTATTCGTTGTAACTCTATTTATTTGACTGTATACTGTGAGAAAAAAAGAAAACTAAATTGAAAATCTAGGGTGTTGATAAGCGTAAACTGATTCAGAGAAAACTACTCGCCTTACAATCTAATTTAAAGACTACCTATGTTGTTAACGCCAGGGTGACGTATGACGCCGCCCATGTTACTAGGTCAAATTATGGATAGATGCCAGCTGAGACCCATGCTAGAAAATCAGTTTGAGACAAGGTGCCATGTGGTTGATTATGTAGAAGCACTCTCACCGTTTTGTTCGCTTGCGGGTTTCTGGAATTTATTCAGAAAGCTTCAAAGGTCTTTCGCGCCGATGTTTCTGATTCGTGCTTTAGTATTTTGACTATTACCTCGAAGTGGTCTTGCTCTATCTTTGTATCCTGTGTGT